AAGTGCCTCTTTGAATCAGGTTGACAGAAAGCAAATCACTTCTCCAAGTGCCTCTTTGAATCTTGAAACGATGAACCACACACAACAAACGATGAACCATGAACGAAGGCGTGGCCCATCCGTCTTTTATCTGCAGAAGACGACCCTAATGAGCAACAGCTGCTCATTAGTCCTGCATCCTGATGCAACTCACAGCAAGCTTCTGCTGAGTCACAACAGTCATATGGCTAGCATGACTCAACACCGAAGGCGCACGGAACGCTGCTCCTTTCCCACCAAAAGTGGTCCCTGTTTTTCTATTCACATTTTTTACATGCTTTCCAACTGCTAGGTTGGCAGAAGCCGGGATACGTCACGGGAGCTCACTCCGCTGCGCGGCGGTAGGGATTCGAACCGCCAAAGTGCTGACCTTCTGTTCAACAAGCTCAGCTTCTTAGCCACTGAGCCCCCGCGTCCCTTTTTATGTAGAGTCCCCTTTACTTTGGAAAGAATAAATCTGAATAGGTTTGCTCTGAATAATGATGGCTGAAGTGTTAGCGACGAAGACGCGAAATGAGTTTTGTGTTCCTCTAGGTGTTTCTGCTTGTTGTCATTTCGTCCACAGGTGAAACGTAAACAGGCATTAACAAGTTATCAATCCATTCCGTCACGGCTGATAAAGGATTTTCTGGAGCCTTGTATGCAGTCATAAATAAGGCGCCGTGATTGCAGAAAATTGTTTTTTCGAGCTGGATTCTTATTTCGCCTTTGCTTTTAAGTTCCCAGCCAATGGAAATCACAGCCATAGAAAATCACATTCGGAGGAGAGAGCGGGCAGCACCTTGAAAACAACTTGGCTCGAAGGGAGGCAGGGTGTCAAAGAAGGTACTTGCGTCTGTGGAATGGCCGATACTGGGAACCGATTTGCTTCTCTTTACGTTGGAAGCACGAGAAGGAAGGCACCAAGTTGGGCCACGATGGGGGGGATTTTAAAATGGGAGGATGCAAAGGCTGATCTTGGGCACCTATTGGGGCATTGGACTTATCCAAAGGAGAATATTTGTAGCTCAGGGTTGACATGTGGGGTCCTTGGTGCTCTCTGAGCTTGCTTGTTTTCCTGCAGATGTTTTGTTACTCGAACTAGGTAACATCATCAATGCTAGTAGAAGGAAGCCCAGCTCCCTTCTAGCACTCATGATGTTGCCTAGTTTGGGTAAGAAAAGATCTGCAAGAAAATAAGCGAGCTCAGAGAGCACCAAGGACTCCTTAACCACCCTCCTCCTCCTCTTCCCCTTCCCCTTCCTCTTCCTCTTCCTCCTCCTCTTCCCCTTCCTCCTCCTCCTCTTCCTCCTCCTCTTCCTCTTCTTCTTCCTCCTCCTCTTCCTCTTCCTCCTCCTCTTCCCCTTCCTCCTCCTCCTCTTCCTCCTCCTCTTCCTCTTCTTCTTCCTCCTCCTCTTCCTCCTCCTCCTCCTCTTCCTCCTCCTCCTCTTCTTCCTCCTCCTCTTCATCTTCCTCTTCCTCCTCCTCTTCCTCTTCCTCTTCCTCCTCCTCCTCTTCCTCTTCCTCCTCCTCCTCTCCTCTTCCTCTTCCTCCTCCTCCTCCTCCTCCTCTTCCTTCTCCTCCTCCTCCTCCTTCTGGCCTAGGCAAAACCCCTTTTATTAAACAAATGTGAATTCCTCTCATTCACATTCAGCAAAAGTCTTTCAAAGGTGAAGTTATGACCACAGACCTTGGAAAGCTGCCATGTCCATATTTTCCAAATGAGGAGCTGTGCAAGGAAAGGCTGGCCACAGAATCTCTGAGATTCGTGGACAGATCTTCACACTCCTGAAATGAATCTAATGACCGAATGAATGAATTGTTTCCGGCAAAAGCCCCCTCCCCTTTTATGTCCTATGGGTGGGGCCACTCACTGTCCACCTGTGACCTTACTCCCAAGTCTACCCTGATTTCTGAGCTGTTCTTTTCTTCTGGCAGCTCTGCACATGTGCACACTGGGAATAGGCTCCAGTTGTTCCTCTGCCCCATTGATGTCTAGCTCCATAGGCACCTGATCACTGCCGGATGGACTCTGCTGCCAACTCTGCTGGCCACTGGCGGGCCACAACGCTCCTCCTCCTCTCCTCAAACCTCACTCACTTCTAGCACTGCTGATGTTACCTAGTTTGGCAACGCGACATCTGCATTTATGGTGGTTGATGTGTCCTGGAGCCACGTGATCCCCTTTTGTGACTTCCAACGGACAAAGCCAATGGGGGAAGCCAGATTCACTTAACAACTGGGTTTCTAAGTTAACAACAGCCGTAATTCGCTTATCAAGAGCAGCAAGAAAGGTTGTAAAATGGGGCAAAAACTCACTTAACAAATGTCTCACTTAGCAACATAAAGCTTAGATTCAATTGTGGTCCTGAGTCAAGAATTACCTGTAAAGCACTGTGTGTCTGTGTGTGTGTGTGTGTTCTCATCCAGGCAGATATGTACGCAATTTTTTTACGCAACAGTTTCGGTAACTGACTGTGTTTAGTGGCAATTGTCCATACGCAATCGACGTCTGTAAGAAAGTCATTCCTAAGCCACAAGTCACGTCAGCTAATGTTTCTCGGGCGCTTCCGTCACGACACTATAAGCATCTCACAGCAAAAGAGAATCCTGCACACCGCAGTAATTCAGAAATGATCGATGCTCTGATCTTTGAGCAATTGAGTAACAGAATGGAAGCCTCATCCATATTACTAACTCGATTGTTTTATCGAGAAGAAAAATGTCCCTACTAAAATCCAGAAGAAGGAGGAGTCAAGCTCCCATCGTCTTCCTTTGCTGCTTCAAAGTCATTATCTGCAAGACTCTCTATTGAGAGAGAGCGGGGAGAGAAAGAGAGGGGGAGAGAGAGAGAGAGAGAAAGAGAGAGAGAGAGAGAGAGAGAGAAAGAGAGAGAGAGAAAGAGAGAGAGAGAAAGAGAGAGAATAAGAATAAAGTTTTCAAATCCTCCTTAAGACAGTTGGGCTAATCTTTCATTTGACTAGCAGCCATCTTGGAAATCGCAACTTTGCAGAGACATTTCAAAGTATTCTCGGTAACGGAAAAACATCCCCTCGATTGCCAGAGGAATGAAATTCAGGCATTTAAGACAAAATGAGTTTTTTTTGCCTGTTCTCAGCTAGGGGCAAAAATCAATAGCCCAAATTTAGAATCTCGGAGTTCCTTCAACGGAGGGCTTTTTTAATCCAAATTGATCACAGCCTTCCCAAGGCTTGCTTTAATTTTAAGACCTAAACCACATCCGTATCTTTTACACCTGTCAACAGGTAACTTCCTTGTGGCATAGAGCTGTAAAGGTCAGGCTTGAGAAATGTTGCTATTTCCCAGGGACCAGTTTTACTTCATCCCCTTCGCCAATGGCAGGTAGAATGTTAAAAAAAAACAACACCCACCCCAATGTTTATACCTTCTTAAAGGAGAAAGAGAGCTGGCTTATTTTATTTTATTTTGCTTAATATCTGAGAGGAGAAAGAGACCTGGGTCTCTTCAACAAGTGATAGTACTTCAGTGGGAAAAGCATTAGGTGTTTTTTCCTATCTGGGGGAAGAGAAGGAGAGGAAGGAAGGAAGGAAGGAAGGAAGGAAGGAAGGAAGGAAGGAAGGAAGGAAGGAAGGAAGGAAGGAGAGGGGAGAGGGAGGGAAAAGAGAAGAGAAAAATTCAAGTTGAGTAATGGGACATGTTTCCCTCAACTGTGTCCCATATTTGTTCTCTTATATGATAACAGTTAACCAAACATGGCTGATCTCAGAAAGGTGAACAAGATGCCACTTTAAATGAAAATCGTCGGGGAAACTCAAAGGCCCAAACTAGATCGGGAATGGAAAACCACTTCTGTGTTGTTGCCAAACCACTTGATCTCCATGTGGTCCCCAGGAACAAATCCTTACTTATCATCTTGGTCAAGAATATGCCAGAAAAGTTGGATCTTATGAATTTTACTCTTGGGGAATTCTCTTGCCCTGATTGATGGGGAGCTAAGACAAGCTTCGCAAGATCTTGCAAGAGATCAAGACACGTGTGTTTCAACATAAGCCGAGGTGGCGCAGTGGTTAGGGTGCAGTACTGCAGGCCACTTCAGCTGACTGTTATCTGCAGTGCAGCAGTTCAAATCTCACCGGCTCAAGGTTGACTCAGCCT